TGTTATGTTAAACTTATATTAAAGTTTTTCTTCATTACCCACTCAAGCCGTCTCCAGCCATTATAAATAAATTCAGTTGAATATAAATGATACCTAACTTGTTCTCTCTTCTGGCAGTACAGAAGACAAGATCTTCTTACACATACATTAAGTTTATAGATAATTAATTACTTCAATATTGTGGTTACATAATATTCAGTTGAAAAATCAAATGTTAATACAAGTGTTCTTCAAGAAAATTTTAATTTCTTTACATAAATCATTATGAAAATTTTATGCATCTATTTGAAATGAAATAATTAAAGGGCCTAAAAATTTCCTTTTTCTATAGATTTTTTCTTTGTAGGGAAACTTGTTTCATATGGAAATGAATGACATTAAAATGGAAAAAAATGTACTTTGATAAGAATAAAGCAAACGTTTTGCCTAATTAGTTTTCAGTAAAGGACATTATGGTACCTCATTGTTAGATTTTTTAACAAGAATAACATAAATTATAGTATTTTGAGAAAATCCGAGATATTAGTAACTTTCCTTAAGGTAACATTTGCCTCCTTTTAATATTTCTCAGTGCTAGAAAGAACTTAATACATATTCAAGTATTCGATATTGTTAAACATCTTCACTAAATTTCACCTTACCTCTTTAGACATGCATGGATTAAATGTAGCAGTGCTGTACAATCTTTTCCTCCATTAAAACTTAGGCATATTTCAGACATTCTGTTGGGTAAGATATCAAAATAGAAAACATAAAACCTCCATTTAGAGTTGTTTCCAAATATTTACAATTACAAAAAATGCATAAATAACATCAATCTAAAATTTGTTTTGAAATGTTACATATTAAATATCTTCAAATAAAGGTTATATAACCATGAATCAAATGAAACAAGGCTGCTCTTTTGACAGTCCCAGAAAAATATGAACAGTTTTTTTCTTCAGTACACTGCTTTTGTATCACAGTTTCTAAAGTCAGCTGGTTGAACATTTTGGCTGACAAGAAATGTTTTCAAAATTAAACATTAATGAATCTGGAGGATAAGTCATACCTCATGAGATTCTCTTATTTCAATAATAAAGTATTTACATATACATGTACTAATATTTGCAGAATACCAACTACTATACAGGGTATATTGTTACAGCATTTTTAAAATTCTTTAATGCAAAAGCTGCTCAGAAGTATACCATTCCACTTTACTTTGAATACATAGACTTCGAATATAATAATATACTTCTGTTCAGTTTTAAGCCAGAACTCTTTTAACTGAACAAGAGATGAGTGTATGACAAGAGTTAGAAGGCAACATCCTTCAAAAGCGTGAAGGAAAAAGAGAGAACACATTAGGATAACTTACATCCAAAAATTACATAAAGCTAGCAGCAATCAGTAGAAGCACTACAATCTCTTGAATGCCTTTGGGCAAAAAAGCACTGACTTTGTATCCACTTGGTCTAGGCCCATAACTTGTACACAATAACAACTGTGGTCAAACTAAATGTAATAAAATAAAGTCCAAAACTCACAAACATGCATTTTTAGGTTCACAAAGCTGATGATGAACCCACTGTAAAGCCTTGGAGCCTCATATCTTACACATAAAGTTTAAAATATTTAAATGTCCCTGATAACCCCGTATAAGCAGGTTTAAATTGAAGCCCCAATTTCAATCACAGATAGCATTGGGATATACCTAGATGTTTCAGAAAGAAACAAAAGTTCCTTCACCAATGTCATTCTGTCACAATAAGAATATCAACATGTAGGGAATATAATACAACTGGGGGCAAAAATTCCAAAGTGAATAACATCACCAACTGCAAGACCATCAGAGAATCTCGAAAGAAAATTACAATGTGATGCAAATAAAAGTTCCATTGGTGGTTCACATATATATATATTCTAAATGATAGTAAGCTATTAGCACCCAAAATAACTATTGTGAATTAGATTTTTTTTATATAACTTTCTTAGGGATAGGATATAGATTACCTTGAAAGCACTAAGAACAAAAACAACTTGACTAGTACCATAAAAAAACTCTCCATTAATCAAATTGCATTTTCTGGAAATAATAACTATAAGCAAGAAAGAGTGTGGCAGTAAACAAGTTATTTTGATGAGGTAAGCTACTAAACTTTGCTTCCACCACGTGATTACAAAATATGGTCATAAATAATGATAAACCTAAGACAACAACTGCACAATACATATGATTCATATAAAAAAGGAGTAAACAGGAAGTCTAGGGAACAAATAATTAGAACTTCTAAAATATATTTCTTCACAACCAACATAAACAAAGCTTTGAATGAGACTTAAGGCAACAGCTACTATTAATACAAGGTTTGAAATGCTCATGCAAAATGTATATAATACAGAGAAAAAAAGACAGTTAATAAAGCAGGTTATTTATTTGCTAAGAATAAAGATCAAACTGAAAATGCTAAACAACTGGTACCACACAAGAATAAGAAAATTCTAAATATTAGTATACTAAAGGGAAATACTATCAAAGTTAAAAAATATATATATATATACAAACGTATATATTAGTATACTAACAGAAAACACTATCAAAGTTAAAAATATATATACATACACACACTTATATATTAGTGTACTAATGGGAAACACTATCAAAGTTAAATGAAATTAAAATTAAATGAAATCAAAAAGAGATACCTAGTACAATCTTAAACTAATGATACCTTGTCAATTTCTCCTCTTTCAATTTTTTCTTTCTCATCTACATAATTTTGCATACAGTTTTCCTTATCATATTTATAGACCAAACACAGTATAACATGTGATACTTCTCCTACCTGGCCTGTGTCTCAACAGTTCATTACCAAATACTATAAAATTTTCTTATTGTGAAGTAAGAAGAAGTGACCATTATAAAATTAAGTATCTTGTTCATCTTCACTACAAAGCCCCCACAGCTGAAAGGGCAAGCATGTTTGGTGGGATGTGGATTCTAACCAGTAACCCGAGGATTGCGATTTGAGCGCCCTAACCACCTGGCCATGCCAGGCCTCATTCAAAAAGAACAGGTATCAAATATTTCTTCATGCTAAAAAAGTATTAAAAGCTTTAACATAAAATTAATGCATAAAACACTGTCGAACTACACACTAAATAATCTTCTGCACATATGAATTATTACTGGAGGAGGATACCTGTGACTCGTTATTCAAGAAGGTCATGAAACAATGTCACTGTGTAAGATTAGTAGTAGGAGAGATCGTAAAAGTTAATTAAGATATTTAGTTTACTGTCTATTTGGAATGCATTTAACATAAACAAATACATACCCATACATAGTGTAAGAACACCTACTTGTACTTTTTCAAACAGCTTTCAATTACTTTTACTGCACCGTCTACAGATGGTTCTTCCTCAATAAGCTCATACACTCGTTCTCCAGCCTTTTCTACAGCATTTCTATCATAAGCTACCACAGCTCCTTTAAAATTATACATATTTTAAATATGATCCACATGATCTTAAAAGCATACAAACACCACATAACTTTTTACAATTAAATAACCACATCTAAGGTAGAAATAGCACACCACAGATCCTGTAATGAAACCAAATAACTTAATATTTCTTCTATAAGAAACATATTACTGCAGAATTGAGGACAAATATTACACAAATATTTCATAAAGTTGTCTTTTTTCTCCTCACTTTTGTAATTATGGAGTTTCACCCAGTACCAATGGTTTCAAATTTTAATTATGTAATAATGCATTTACATGATAGTTAACCTCAGCTTCCTAAAGAATGTGTGAATGAATTAATATTACAACAGTAAGAATTTGACAATTACTTTGAAATCTATGATTTTTTCTTTTTATTAAATCTAACTCAAGAGGACCTTAATGTTATTATTATTATTATGTAAGTGATTATTTTCATAAAAACTTAATATTTTTTAAATAGTTCAAAGTCATTAGAAAGCTAAAATTTTATATTTTAAGTTAAAATTTAAGAAACTGACTGGCCATGTACAGTTCTCCAACTCTGAGGAATTTACTGATTAAATAAAAACTGTTTTCTTTTACTTTAAGAGAAAATATTGAAACTTTTATACCAGAAAACGCAATTTGACCTAATGTTTTCTTCTACTAGTTCAAAATTCCAAAACTACACAATAAAATGCTCGTTATTAATATAATATAGAATAAATACATTTTATAATGATATTAAAATATTTTGATTGACACTTTGAACAATAATAATGAAATTTCAAATTTTAAAGCCTAATACTTTGCATCAGAACTAAATGAGCTAGACAATAAATTATACATCTTAGGATTTTGTTAGAGTTTCATAACTATTCCTACCTAGTAGTGAACATCTAATTATTTATTTCAAGTTTGCCCTTTTATAATTTTTCAAATTTCAACACTTAGACCATTATCTTATAATTTTAAATTATCATTATCTTTCGCTAAAATAATCAACTTTAAATTTTTCACCTGAGTTAACTATGAAATAACGAACATTTATATATTTGTAACTTTTATCAGGTTTTTTCGCATGAAGCAAACAAACTAATGAATCCTCAGCTGTTTTTATATAGAATATTATCATATGTTAATCCTGATTTCTTTAAATGAATATATTTGACAATTTTCAATCTTTTATTATGGCACAACGTTTTGGAAGACAATACTAATTAATTTTCAAATCAATAAACTTGGATTTAGAATGTGTGCACTTATGTTATACTGAATCTGCATATTTTATCCTAATGCTCTGGCATAAATCATCGGCTCAAGCCAACAGCATAAAGATGACTTGAAATCACTCGGTGTTAAATCTAATATTCATAGTTGTGTTAAATATATATCAAAAAGCTAAGATAAGATTTGAAATCTATATTTAACAAATAATGACACTAAAATATGTGCAATCTTTAAAATGTAACATGCAAAACTAAACAAAGAATCTTTTCTTATATAAAAACCTGAAATAAATATAAACACTTATTATTATATTATATTAGTATTATTATTATATAGTGTAATGTAGTCAATGTGTACAGAGCTTCAGATTATGGCAATTATATATTTTGTTTGCTATCCACTTTATTAAAATTCATTTATTTCATGTACATGCAGTTTTCACATCACACGTGATAATTTTTGCTCTCGATAACTCCTGTTCTGTGCCATTCCCCTGAGATAGTACCTGGTCTGCCCGTGGGAAACATAGCTGTAAAGGTAAATTTAGCACATGAAAATGGATGGCAGTTTTCTCCATTTGTAGATCAGATAACAATCTTCCTCAATTTTCTACTGGGAATGATCAGTCATGGAGGAAGTGCTAATTGCCCTGGGAAGGTATGAAGTTGTATTTTCAAATACATAAAATTATACTTTCTCAGACTGAAACAGTCTAACAGTTTTCAACTCAACAGATATAGATTGAGATTAAAAGCTTAGAGAGAATAAAGCAGCTACAATTCTACCGTAAAGGTGATCATCCTCTGTGCTAACATACACACTGGAGTGTTACTGACTACATTTTTTTTTTCACTGTGTGTTTATACTTTTGTCCAGTTCCTTTCTTTGCTCATACTCAGTTTCAGAGATATTCAAAATTATTTCACAGTATTTCCTAATCAAACCTCCAATTATATAGTATACCTATCTTACTCACTCTTGGGAAAATCAGTTACACCTGAAAATATGACACAGAGATAATCATATAATGGTATGTCTTTACAACAATCCATACTAATCTAAAGCAAATACCATCACCTGTTTCATATACAGAGAATAAAATATTGCTAATATAATTATTCTTAAAATTATAAAACTCAAAAATTAAATACAAAGTATTTTCTTTCATTCAAGCTAACATTGTTAACTGAAAGTTTAAATTACAAAGATAATTATTCTATTACATACTAATTGAACAGGAAAGATAGCTTTCATAAAATATACTTGTTGTTTATCAGAGAATTTACTTTTTCTATAGAACTTTGTTTTTTTACCTAACCTACATAAGCATGATTAAGTTGTATCTCATATTTATAAAATTGTTAATTCATTATACACTTCTAATTTAAAACATACTAAATTTTGTTAATGAAATTTTCTGTAGTAGGAAAGAGTCACAGAAACTATCTACTGTTTCATGGGACAGCTGTTTGTTCCTACTTTACCTTGTGTATGTAGGATTAATCTATAGTTGCCACAAAACTCGGATATTTTCAGATTCTTCTGATTTAATTTTCTAGTTGATTAAATAAAGAGAGAATATGAAACATAAGAGAATTTTTGGGATTATTATCAGGAATGATTTCTGGTCTGAGAGAGAAAGGATTTAAAAGTAAAGTGTTACCCTTGTTTTAGCAGTTCTATTTAAAGATAACTTTCATTTACTTTTATTTAAAAACAACTTATTTACCCCTTTTGTGAAAATAGTTTTGATTATTTTAACTTAATGTACAACAACAAGATACTTCAAGAGCTAGATGGTTAGCAGTTGTTCCAGCAAATCTTAAGTTTCGTGTCTAAATTGTTTGTTTTGGTTCATTGTAACACAGAGGCTTGTCTCTTTCCTTCCACCCACAACAAATCACTACTATTCCCCTGCCGACTAAGTTAATGAATCTCTATTTTTCGGGCATCGGGTAATTATGTGTGTGGTTACAATGAAGCAAGTCCTTCAAAAAACAAAACTAGCTCTAACATCACGTGTTTGTTTTTCATGTGTTATAAAATTATATAAAATGCTATGTTAAGAATTTAGCTGCAGACATAACAATACCTTCAGGGAGACAGTTGAGTAAGTAATCATGAGCAGCAATGATGTCCTCCTCCACCATGCTTTCCAAAGTCAGTCTAACCCTGTAATAGCTGTGGCCAAGTGCTGGATAGGAACCTATCATAACCTTGCCTTTGAACTTACTAACAGCAGCATTAAGCACAGGGGTAATGCTAACTTCATCCTTTTTTATATACATTTCCCTGTAGTGTTTACGGAGGTTTGGATTACTAAACAAGTACTAAATGAAAATAAGACAAAATCATCAATCACAAGGAAGTAGAAAAAATATCTTTGTTAAACAGACACTAAAGGAAAATTAGAATAGCATCTGTAAGTTATAAAATTCAGTTTGTAGAGAGTAACTTTAAAATAAGAAATCAACACAAAATAACTAAGTATCAAAGGCAAAATAAAATAAAATCACACTGAAAGTTTCAATGAAAAGAGTTTTACTAATACTAATACATTTACAATTAATAAAATTAATTATCACTTAATATCTTTAAGCAGCTTAATGCTATTACCTTATATATCATTGTAGATAATTATTTACAACCCACACACAGGTTGAATTTTCTCATTTCAATCAA